ACAAATTGAAACTGAGCGCTCGCAACTTGGGGATGAAACGAAACCAAGAGACAAGACATAAAACAAGAAACAGAGTTATGCGACTGTACTTACCCAGAGAGATTTTGCGGCCGTTGGGGTCCCCCACCATGGGATACGATCCCGGATGAGCCCCCAAATGTAAGGGTCGAGTCGCCCCGCGAAGGAAGACCCCAAGAGTCGGTCTCTCATGCAAATCGCAAAGGGGAAGTTTTATTATCTACCTATACGTAGGGTGGTCTGCTCACGCAGGAGCAGAGCGCGCCTTCAGTGTAGCAGGCATAGTTTTTTAAAGGCAAAAACCACAAAATGGGGAGGGAGCAAGCACGTTACAGAAGCAAATCGCATTGGTTAGTGTAGGTTGACCCTTACTATAATTAGTGAGTTACAATACTGGATGACCAAATGGAGTAAGTCCGGGGGTAGCTGGGGGGTCTAACCTTGTGGTTGTCATGTTCCGGGAACGTTTTTAAGAAATCGAGGCATGGTGACCTGGGACATCCTGTTGTTATGGCTTTCAATAGTGAGGCCTTGGGTTTGGGAATGTATGTTTCTTGCAAGAATTTAAACAAGGGGAGGGCCAAGGGCAGCTTCTTGGCTAACTCAGTGGTTTAATTGTTTTCCAAGTAACAGGACCCCATCCAAGGTTTTCTTATGTCCTCTTTGTTTTAGGAACATGGATTGCTCAAGCTCTGGGGCCGTAAACCAGTGAGTGTTTCCTTTTAATTGAAACACATTTTATCTATTTCTATATGTGATCTTAAAATTACTTGGGCTTTACAGTCCTTCCTTGGAGAAAGTTTCTTCCCCTTTGTCTGGCGGCAGCTATCAGGTAAGCCAAAGTGGGTGCATACAAGTACACCCAGGAGCTGTGGAGGTAGCAGTCCGATGTGATGCGCTTTCTGCTGCAGGTCCGATGCTGGCAATGTCGCCAGCTCTCGGCGCTCCACACGGCTCCTCGCCCCACCCGGCGGACAAAGCTCGGAGGCTGGGATAGAAGGCCAAGCAAGGGTGTGTCATATACAGGATTCGTGTGCACCGCGGTGGCCGCAAATGTCCAGTTCCTAAGGGAGGGACTTACGGCGAGCCTGTCTGTGCATCATGGCATTAACCAGCTGAAGTTTGCACAGGGCCTTCAGTCTGTTGCTGAGGAGCGAGCTGGACGCCACTGTGGGGCTCTGAGAGTTCTAAATTCTTACTGGGTTGGTGAAGATTCCACATACAATTTCTTCGAGGTTATCTTTATTGATCCATCCCACAAAGCCATTAGAAGAAATCCTGACACCCAGTGGATCACCAAACCAGTCCATAAGCACAGGGACACACATGGGCTGACATGTGCAACCCTCAAGAGTCGTAGCCGTGGAAAGGGCCACAGGTTCCACCACACTGTTGGTGTTTCTTGCCGTGCAGCTTGGAGAAGGCGCAATACTCTCCAGCTCCACCGCTACCGCTAATAATATAGTGATGTTTGTAGAATTCATAACACAATAAACAATTTATAACAATTTAAAAAAAAAGTCCTTCTTTCAGGCCAGAATCCTTTACTTGTGAAAATTTTTCATCTCTTGAGCTACTCACCTCTGTTGTTTGAAGACACCAGGCTAAAATATTAATGGTGGTTACATCTGGATAACATGATTACGAATAACCTTGTATTCTTTTTATTTTTTGTTTAGCTTTTATTTTTTTTCTTAAATGTATTTGGTTGTTGCAGGGTCTCACTATGCAGCTCCTACTCATGGTGATCCTCCTGCTTTCAGCCTCCCCAGCACTGGGATTACAGGCATGCACCACCACACCCAGCCTCTTTTGTTTAGCTTTTTAAAGATATATTGGATTGCTAAATTATGCAGGCTAGCCTTGAGTTTACGATCCTCCTGATTCAGCCTCTCTAGTTGCGGCAGTTACATGTGTGTGCCACCATTCCATGCTAAGTAACATTTTCTAAACTGTATATTTGTGTTCTTTCCAAATTTTCCGTAAAGGCCATTTAGTTAAGCAACATTCTTTAAGGGGGCTTTTGACATCACTAATCCTAGGTGATATCCTTTAAGGAAAGATATATATGATCATGAAATTTAGGAAATACTAAACATTTTATCTCCTTTTGGGAGAAT